GTAAATAGGGACAGGAGAGGAAGCAGGCGATGTAAAATAGGTATCTCGCTACCGAATGAATAGGTTTCTCTCTCACCATTACTAGAAATTTTAGATCTAGAAAGGGCACAAGTATTTATGACTAAAGTATAAAGCTATGACATTAAAACAGATATTATGGTATGCTGGTGACAGGAGTTAAAAAAAAAAAAAAAAACAACCCCAAAGCCTCAAAAGACAAAAAGGACAATAGGCAAAGTAACAAAATTCTGCTTAACATTAAAGAAGCACCTTCATTCAGTTCAAACAAAATGTTCAAATATTTGATTTTGCAAAGGACTCTCAGGAAAAGGTAATGTAATCTCCCACTTAACCTTTCACAAAGCTGCATTAATTACATTCCAGGCTTTAGCATAATTTCACTAGCAAAGCCAATAACCCAATTCCATTGGCCCTGCTCCCTTGCATACAGCAATTTAATGCAGCGTTCACCAGTAATTCCTTAACACCACTTAAGTCACAGAACTTCCCCAGAAACATGGGGAAAGATGTTGGTAAGACACTACTGGTACCCACTCCTAGGGACCGATTCTGCCCTTAATGCACACATGCAGCTGCTAATGGCTTCAAGGGGAGCTTCTGGTCCAGATAATTGGACAGAGCAAACGAAGCGAAGAAACCCAATTAACCGGCAGCTTAACAGCAGTTCTTCCTTCTAGAGTCTCTAGAAGAGGACTTTGTCTCATTGACAACAATCAGAAGTGGTTTCAGATGAACATGATTTTTTAATCTAATAGGGACAGCAAATTCAATGCAGCTCTGAAAGGCACTTCAGGTAGAACAGTAATAAACTCCTGCCTGATCAAACCAACCAGAACAAGTCTGCTGGCCTTGCTGCCCGTGCTGCCCTTTTCAACTAAGGCAATTTTAGTGGATAGCTAGCTTCCATGCACTGCCTTCCCCACACAACTTTAATTTAGCCACTTACACTAGCATAAGGCCTTATGAAAAAAACAGAAGGCTCAACAGCTTCCACCTCCCCAGCAGAAGGGGAAGAGGGTTACCTTAAACTAAGGTAACAGCCTGCACAGTGGGTTACTTCTTTCACTGTTTTTAATATGCTGTCAAGGTGTCATCATGCAACTTTTTAAAATACCTGAAACTCTACAAGTTTAACCTCTTGCTTAATAGATGAGCACAGACAAATTAACATAGACAGTGTCCTCACAAACTGCTAGGCCACTGTGTCTTTTGAGAGATACAGTAAGTTTCTGTTTTGGGTAGAGATCACGTAAAAGAAATTTTGTTTGATGTAAAGGCTACCTTGCATAATTTCTCAAAAATAGCCCACCCAGCCACTCAGCTAAGTCGCAATCAAAGCCATCAGTTATCACAAAAAGCACCTTCATATCAATAACCGCTCACCCCTGTGAAACTCAGTCCGAGTTTGAAATGTATTAGGACTAATTTTATCATGTAGTTGATTCTGTTCACGCTGGTGATCCACTGTTTTCAAACAATCAAGTATTGTTCCCATCAGTATTTTACATTAGTGTAACGGATTTATCCATATCATTACTCTCCCACCACCCCACCCCCCAAGAAAAAAAAATCCCACAACTGCTCAAATAAGGAAAAAAACCCAACTAATAGCCATACTGTGAAACAAAAATACTATTTAAAATGGATGACAGTCCAACAGTTTGCGGGATTCAAAACTGACTCTACAAAGTAGTTGTCTACGTTGTAGAAAGGATTTCCTTTTATTTGGAAAATGAGCAATTGTAAATCAGGTATTGGAGAGAAGAGATATAAACAATCTTTAGATGGTCTTAAGTTTTGCCTACTGTTGAAGGATTAAAACCGTAAATAAAAAGGTACCAAGCCCTCAGAGTTCACCGTTCATGTGAAGCTTCTTCCATCTCTTTCTTGACCTTTTTAAAAAACCATATTCATTTCTGGGAAAGGAAGGGAGAAGAAAATAAAAATTATTTAGGGAAAAAAACAGCAGTTATTTCTTATTCTGACATTATACAGAAGTGCTCAATTTTGACTCAAGAAAGCCTTAAAAGCAACCAAAAGTCTCAAACCTTGCTTATAAATTGCATGGTACTTTGGCAGTAGAAGATGAGATTGTGTATAGACTTGGAGAAGATCCCTGGACTAAATGGATTAAATGCATTTAGAGCTACCAATTAGAAAAGAGAAAATAGGATTTCTGAGGTCTTTAAAAACACAGGGGGAAAGACGACAAAAGGCTTTAGATTAGAATCCAAAAGGAGTTAATGACTAAAGACACCTTAAATTCAAAGATACTCCTTTGCTGTATTCACAGCTCATTAACCGAAGTAGCAGATAAACCTATTAGCTAATAACCAATATACATATATTCAGTTGTCTGATTGCAAGAACCAAATTATAACAGATATTTAAAAAATAACAAAGAGAATCTACAGATTTGTATCTCAGCAAAAGCAAGGATTTAGTTTTTACTAGTATGACAATACTACACCAACTGCACACACCACACAGGCACAACAGTAAACTGGCTCATTGCATCTTTTGAGGCTGAGCATGAGATTAAGTGTTCTTTGAATGTCTTTAGACGCACACAAATCCTTAGCATCGACCAGCAGCAAAGATCACTTATAAGAGACATGGAAAGTTCAGACTGTAGTTGCTACTCATCTTCTGCTAGCATGCAGAATTTCAGTCTCCTGAATAATAAAGACTTCCAACTTATGTCACTGGTGAGTCAGGACATGAGAACAAAGGTCGAACTACCAACCTAATATTCCATGTTGTTTTGAAAGGGTAGCATAGATGTAACTCAATTAAAATTAGCTTCTGGAATTTAAATGCCCTAAGAGGGATAGATCACATGCATTTCAGGCATTAGAAAATCCTTCCTATAGTTCTTCTCATAGTTCGGTTTTGTGTACGTTTTCTCCAAACCCCACAGCTTCAGGCTGGATATGCACACTGACTCCTGAACATACATACCTGCCCTTGCATGGAAGTCTCTGTACATCTTCTCATCTGAAACTTTTCTGCTGTTGCATCAGCCCCACATTTTCATATACTCTAGCACTATCTTCTCTCATTCTAAAATGAAACAAGTATTTACAGTCTGAAGAACCTAGTTTGAGAAAACCACATTTGTACACACAACATAATTCAGTGACAATTTATTTTGCTCAATTTATTTTAAGAGCAAAGCACAGGGCAACATTCTGTGATAACTCATTCTCATCCAAGGTCCCTGAAGATTAGTTACTACAGTTCAAAACTCACACACTAACAACAGAAGCAAACTTACTCTGGACATGTTGGGGTTGGGGTACAGGGTGGAAGAGGGCTCTGATCCCCACTTGTCTGGTCCGATAAAGAATATTTAATGTTTGTGTATTCGTGACCTTTTCTCTTACTCTTCTGTGAAGCAAAACACAACAAAAAGCCAGGTTTTGAATTACTAATAGAAAACAATCATTGAAGTAGTGCAGAAATTACATGTATAACTAACCACGTACGTTTTTAGAAGAAAGGTTTGTCCATGAACAGAAGAGAGCTCAATTCTGTAGATAACACACACAACATGGATAGGACCTAAAGGCTGGCTTTAGCCATTTGTTACAAGACCTGAAAAGCCTCGCTTTTCAATATTCCTCTTTCCACCACCATCTCCAGCAGAATCTACCAACCTTATGAACCAGCACTCCTACACAATCTTCATCTTACTTGGCAGAAGAAACCACACTTGATTCTTTAATAGACAGTATCAGCCAGTGGGCTTCCCACTGACCTTATTTCCAGCTTGGAGATGTGGCCAAATGAGTAACAACGTTGTTTGCAAGATCTCTAATAAAATAACATCTTAGTCCATTAGGTTTGATATAAAAAGAACCCAAGCTGTTATTTGTATTCTGCAGCATATGTTACAAGCTGCAGCCAATTGTGCTGGCATTCATCTAAAGATACTGAAGGCTCCAGCAAGCAAAGCTACGCTAGGAAAGAAAGGGGATATGGCTTTCTTCCTTTTCAAGACAAACATTCGCAACACATGCATACACTGAAACTGACATATAAATTAAAGCTTCACTTTAAAGTTTTACAGGGTACTGGGTTGGGGGGGGGGGATGTTTGGGGTTTTTTGTTGTTTTTTTTTTTTTTTTTAAATGCTCTAACAAGTACTAATTAACTGGCCTGAATCAATCTCACAACAGAGGTTGTCAGAGCCTCTAGGGAGTTCTGGCTGCTGAGTTTCCATTAAGAACGCTCTGTATAGCAATGTAGGTTGAAGATTTTCCAAGATGGCCTTCTGAGACTCGCTCAAAACTTGCTCAACTTGTTCTGTTATTTTACTGAACTTCTCCCCTCTCAGCCTCCTACTTATTCCTGACAAATCACTTTCAAATAGACCACCAGTCAAGATCAATTACCTGGCTAATGCTAAAAAATAAGATTCAAACAAAATGCAAAGGTTCACGCTCTGCTGCATTCTACAGCGTTATGGGTACAAACCCCTCACCTGCCAATAATATTCTGAAGCCCAAAACTAGGGCTTGATTTCCACCTCCCTCCCCAAACTGCATGATGAATGGCAGTTCAAGTTACACATGTACTGTACAGTAAAAGCAATTTTAAAAGAATCAGTCAGTTCTTCTATTACTTAAGCTGACTGAAACAGATAAAACAAGCCAAGAAAAATTAGATATCTGGCTTCTCTTCCTTCCACTTAATTCACTGTAATTATCCTTTCTAATTCAGAATAACAGAAATGTGGTAAGAACTACTTGTTTCCTAGATGTAAGAGAATATACACATTTCCACAGGAAAAAACAAACAAACGAACCCCAAAATAAATTCACTTTGCTTTTCTTCTACACTTGTAAGAAGACAGGCAATATTTAACATGACACTTAACTCTATGAAACCTTGAGGCTGTCAGCATTGCAATGCAGGAGGGAAAGCTAGCAGAGGAGGGAAATTTTTCCTGAATATAAACAAAAATCAGGCATATCTATGTGAACAGATGCAGCTATTCACATATCCACTTCTTCAGCCCAGCTGGTTGTAAGTCCTGCATGACAACAGGCTAGCTAATGTGACTCCCTAATTTCTTATCAGGGCTGGCTTGCGTTCTTCCAGACTGAAAAGCAGACAGGGAGCATGACCTCATATTCTTTCCTGTAAAGGTGCCCTAATTGACTTCACCAGGTTTCTTTCCAGCTTTCACTGTTTGCAACTGCAATTAAAGCAAGCGTAGAGAAGGAGGTTCCAGAAGTTAAAGTTTCTCAAAACACAGCGTTTCATTCCCAAACTATCTTTGTGGGGTGAACTTCAAGCATTCTCGATAGTATTCTACTACTCAGCCAATTTTCTTCCTGCTCTATCAAAACATGCTTTGGAGCATCCCCAATTCACGATGTTTTTTTCAGGACATTAGTTCCTATAATCACCGCAAAGCTTTGCTTTTGTCCGAGAAGTTTGGTATTGTTTTATTCCTGTAGCTGCCACTAGCCCTAGTTATAGGTCAAGACCTCCCGAAGTAAAGCAATGTTCTATTTCCAGTTTCTTAAACTTTTATACCTGTGTCTTCTGAGCTAGTAATGGAACAGAGGATGAAACACAACTAACTGAGCCTCATCGCTATAGGAGAAATACACTGCTCCACTCAATATCAAAATACTATTCAAAACCCATTACAACGATCAAGAGAAAGTTACAGATCTACTTTGTAAATGGCAGCAGCAGAAACAGACCATATTCAAAAAGCTGAGGATACAAGGCTTGCATAATTACAGACACAGAGATATGAGGCAGCTCTAAGGCGCAGTGAGACAACAAAGCCAGGAAAAAAAACAGTACACCTGAGGGATTTCTTGTTCTTCACTTTGTGTCTAATCACCCTCAGAGCATAGAACAGCTGTCCTGGGGGGAGGAATAAAGTCTCTATCCTCTCTGCTGAACAGTGCATCTACATCATGTAGGCAAATATAAAATAAGCTCTGCCACACTCAAAAGCAGCCAAGAAGCCACACAAGAGTGCCAAGCCCGAGCTGGCACACTCCGTCTCTAAACAGGGATTACATCTCACACCTGGCACTGCGCTTACCGCGCAGCTCCTCACATCTGCCTGATCAGTTGTGTGTGTTTATCTCCTTCTGAGCAGGAAGCCAGCTGCAGAAGGAAAGATACTGAAATTCTGAAACAAAAAGATAAAAATCCCAGATGACCAGAGGTTAGGGCAGAGAATGAAAATAACAGTGAGCAGAACGTCAGTTCTTTATTACAAAATGAGGTAACTTCTGTAAAAGACTGTAAAATTTGAGTGCAATGAAGTACTTAAACAGGAAGAGTGAGGTGAAGGTCCTGTGGTTGTCGCCATATATTCCAAAACTTTTCTCATCTTATCACATCAAATCACTCCTCTAACTGCTTTTTGTTGGAAAATGTACTGCAAGATCACCGCACTCATTCTTTAATCTTTCAGTCCAATATACTTACTTCTTACTAATAAACATGTAATTTAAGACTCCAAAATACATATTAGAGCTACTAGCATTTGAAATTGATTATCATACTTCAGAAATACAGTTAACAGATTGGAAATCTCTTTAAAGCTCAGTAGAGCACAAGGTTCTGTATTAATTAACAGAACCTTATCTTTTATTCTTCTTGCACAGAAAACTAGACAATATTAAGGGAATTTGAGATCTGGGGTGCAGGGACTGGGGGCCGGGATCCCACACATGCAAGCATTTTCAAGTAAAAGCAGCACTAACTGCAGTCATATGGAGAAGCCTCTCAGACCGATGATTTTCTTGCTCTGCAGGTGGCCAAACACACAGTTTTTATTTTACAGTTTTCTAATCCCACCTAATAGTTTAAGTAATTCTTAAGCATAATGAACTGAAATATAGGCTAGCTTCTCTGAACAGGGTTAACAGACCCAGCCTTTTCACAATGCATTGGTTATACAGTCAGCAGTCAGGCCTCCAAAAGTAACAGGCAGCAAACGAGCAAAACTGCTCCCTGTTCCAATTAGAACACGTTCCTATGGAACATTTTATACTCTAGGACAAACATACCTGCTCCTCTTCAATTCTGCGCTGTAACGTTTCAATGTAGTGCTGTACTGCCATGTAAATAAATCTGTACTGTGCTTCTGTCTGAACCATTCCTGACCGTTGTGATCTCACCATCTGAATGGTCTTTGGAACATCAATATCACAGTCCACACCTAGGAAGAATCATCATAATGTTAAGAACAGTGAAATAAACTCTGGAGGAGAGATTGGCCTCATCTTCCAGCAGAACACAGCGTAGTTGAATGATCTTGCAATAAGCAAGATTGCTAAATTTAACACAAGACGATTCGTCCTTGACTACTAATACACATATCTGTAGAACTGTAGCATAACGTGGAAAGCTGTCCTGGGGGAGAAAATGGCATCACTTCACACTGTTCCAAGATGACTTTAAATGCAACCTAGCTCACCATACATGCCGAGTTAGTGTTTATGGCAGTTTATACATAAATACAACACCGTTCTCCGAAAACAAGTTACTCAAATTCAGCGTGCAGGAGTACATTGACAACCACACACTCATGAATGATTTTAAAAGAAAAATAGAAAAATAAGTAATAAGAAAAACATAATCAGACTCCTGGCTAATCCTCAGCTGAAAGTTTTCATTATGCTGAACGGGAGCAGGGTTTCGGCACTTTGATTCCAGCTAAGTCAAGAGGAACGAGCAAATCCCTTCTACGCCAAACACACACACCTACTTTGTAGCATCACTAGAATCTTCTATCAACACTCCTGTTGTTTTACTGTGATGTATCTGTCAATGTCCCACAAGAAAATAAAAGTGGGGAGAACCTACCTTTTTCTCTGATTATGTCAATAAGAATATCAATCACAATGAAAGTTCCTGTTCGCCCAATCCCAGCACTGTAAAAACAGAAGGGGAAAAAAAGTTAATTGTTTTGCTCTTTCTGAACAGACAGCAAAACACTAGTCCAACTAAGAGTCTAACATTAAGAGACATTAGACTTCCAAATTATAGCCAGAGTCAAACCAAGCCACACAGCCAAAAGTAACTAGAAACCCAATCAACTTAACATGGAAGAGACCAAAGTCATAACAGCACTTCTGTACCTCAGCATTTATTAACATCCTTGAGTCAGAACAAAACTACAAGGTCAGATCTAACATCTCCTTGCCGTATAAGAAGTATCTCATAAGGTGAGACTGAGAAGAGAGCACTACAGGAGGTGGGATAGGGTACTAGAATTTCCATGATCCTGCACCTGAAATGTACCTAGCCAAGACTGGTACCACCTTCTCATACAACATCAGAAATTCTTATTCATACAGACATGCACACTCTGAAAGGCAGCCTGCTTCAAAGGTAACCATTTGACACCTATCTAGAATATATCATTTTGCAAAACAGAAGGCACAAACACTTTGACAGATGAAAGTCTGAGCAGCTCTTGGGTAAAGTTGTCTTCTTTTAAAATTTTCAGCTCCCCCCACCAAAAAAAAAGGGATCCAACAGAACTCCAAAGGCACAGAGAGTCGGAGAGGCGTGGTGCTCACCATACCTGCAGTGGACCACAACCGGTCCCGCATCAGAAATGCTCTCCTGCTTATGGTGCACCTCCTCTAGAAAGTCTAGTACACCACCAGGGTCACTTGGGACTCCATGATCAGGCCAAGTTCTGAAGTGATATTGCCAGACTGTTCTCTCTGTGTTCCCCTGGAAGGAAGATGCCAACATGTGAAAACAAAATCCTTCAGATCAAAATCCAGCTAAAAGCATTTATGTGGCAAAGCTGAGTCAGATCGGAAGGTGGCATATCCAACCTGCTGCTCAGTATCCACAGCACCACACCTCTCAAAGGAGGGAACAAGCCAGAGTTCTTCCTGGCCTGACAAGTCAATCACACCACCTGCTTCCTCAGCTCCCTCCTTCTCATGCAGTTGTTTCCAACAACATTTCCATCTTCACCTTTAGAAGCCATGGCAAAGTTCTGTCTGAGGGTGACCAACAGCAAGGGACCTTCATCTGTCATACTCATCATTCACACCTAGTGGCACTTACCTTACGCACTTCTTCCCACTCAGTTCCATCCCACGGACATAACAACCTAATACATCCTGCTTATTTGCTTCTTACACAATTCTTTTTGCATCCTGATCCAAATTGTCCCTTAACAAGAAGTGCTATTTCCACACTAGTTCACTGTTTCCTTCTTCATCTTTTGCATTCCTTCCCTTAAGTGTCCTTTATACATCCTGGACCCACACACAACCATTTTTCTAGTGCAACCATCTCCGTGAAAGGGAGCAATGCCTACACAGACTTAAGTGTGATTACTTAAAAGCAACACCCCTCTTTCTAAGTTTCCTCAAAGCTCTGCAGCAGTGCATCTTCCGCCAAAACATGCTTAGGTATAAGAATCTTCAATTATCCCAAGGACAAAGCGAAAGATGTATGGAACTAAACCTGGAGCTTCAAAGAAAGAGACAGGGCTCAATTTATTCATCTCTTAGTGCTTTTATTGATTCCAAAGAAACAGTCTATTTCTGCATATTTTTTTTTGTGATCTGCAACCTAAATTAAAAGGACAGAGTTACTATCATACTTACTTGCCCAACTTTAGAAAGCTTAAGTTCTCTTAGTGTGTAATCGTGTGCTGCACTCTCCTTAACATTCCTAACACGCATAACACCGTACTCCTTTAAGGAATATTCATCAGGCCAGTACTTGACACACTTACTCTGCAAAATTTAAAAAGAGTAATCGGTAAGAAGAAAGGCTGGTTTGTAAACTGGTTAACAAACACATTTCTGAAGCTTCCATTTCTGAATACATAGAAGACAATTACTAGCGCCAACTGGACAGCTAGCTGACAAGGTAAAGTACGTTTTAGGGGGAAGTTTCTCTTCCCCATAACAAACACCGGATGATTTCAGACAAACAGGTAGAGGCAATCTTTCTTTTAGCAGCTTTTGTGATCATCTTAGTACCTGCTTTGCCTCGACAATTTCAAAACCCGGAGATTAAAACACTGTTACTTGTATCTCCACCCAACTACAGGTTTCAAAATACTGAGAATTTCCAGTGGAATGCTGTAGCCTTACAGGCTATTCTACAATCAAAACCCAACAGCCTGCAAAATAAATACAAGTCAAAGGTATAAGCCCTTTTTAGCAGAAATGAAACTTGGATGCTTGCTTTTTCGTCACTTAGAGCAGAACGGGCTAACATAGCTCTCTAATTCAATCACCAAAGCAACAAAGAATTGCTCCCCGTGGCAGGGGACTAAAGCCTCCTGTGCCTGTAGGTTTCGAAATTTAGAGCTTTTGGTATGCTGCTTCTCTCTCAAGATTATCTTTGGCCAGGGATATATTCCATCCACTGAAGAATATGTTCACCTATTACTGCTTCCATTTGGTTCCTGTAAAAGCTCAGGAAAGAGCGACTCCTGTTAGCCTGTGAACGTAATACAAGTCCACACAGTATCAAATGAGAAATTTAGCTTCCAGCAATAGCAAATGCAGACCAAACACCGAGTACTACAGAGAAACATTTCCTATTTGCAGTTACTACTGCGTATTTATGAGAAAACATGGCAACAAGAAAGTTCCTTCTGCCAACGCAAGATACAGTAAGAGATGATTGAACACATGCTTTCCAGCCTACTTAGGCAACAAGATGCTTTTCTGTTACTTTTGCCCTTCTTTCCCTGCCATCTCCAAAAAGGTACAAGCTAAAGAAGAGATGTTGATCTTCACATATGCCAACATAACTTGCAGTTTCGATACAGAACTCTGAACACAAGAGCAGTTGGTATAGCAAGTCTGAACAGTAACACAGAATGTTAAAACAAGCTTTAGTCTGATAGAGGGGATGCATGTATTATCAGCTCAATGGACTGCCTCCAAAACAACACTACTTTAATTTGTAAGTATTTGCTGCTTCTACAGCGCATTCTAAAGCATATTCAGAACTCTGTGCAGATCTGAGATGTTTCATAGTTCCTCACTTCCTTAGGCAACATGCTCTTGAAGTCATCTCTGATGTAGAGGTTTCTCTCCTTCCTGTAGACCTGAAAGCATCTTGGCCTGAGATAAAAAAGCTTTCATTTTATATCAGGACTGTTATTTGCAATTCTTGAAGAAGTCAAATAGGCATCAAGAAAAAAAGAAAAAAAAAATAATCAGGGCACACAGCAACTAAGTAATCAGACATTAAAATGTTTTATACAGCCAGAGCACAGAAAACAGGTTTAGCAAAATTTGGAAAGAATCATGGAGAAACTGCAGAGGAGCATAGGCCATACCATAGCTTATTAAATAAATAAATAAATAAATGTACTAAGTGTATTCAAGTCAACTCTTCCAAAACAACCGCATAATTTATTCTCTTCTTCCAAGAGAAAAACCAAAGAGGAAGGTCACCGGAAAAGAGCAGCTTCTCCCTCCTTCAGTTCATTCTCAGGAAGGAAACACATATCATGCTCCTTTATAAGGGTGATGAATGGGCAGAAGTTTACAAAGCCTAAAAAAATCCACAAGACAGAGTCTAACAGTTTCTACAAACACCACAGCAGCTTTGATACCTAGATTAAGAAGAGAAGCCCATAAAATCTACTGCTATTTGTCTTCAGTACATATACACAAAGCCTCTTCTTTTTTTGGCCGTGGTAAGGAACCCCACAATTATCAGTCACCCACAGAAAAACATTAGCTATACTTTCAATTCAATGTTTTTCAAAAGCGACACTCATCTAACAAGATAAGAGCTTTCCATTCAGAAATAGGTCATCTGATTATTGAAAAAGGTGGACAATGGTACGTGGAAAACGCAGAGAAACTTAAAGAAAAAAAAAGAGAAGAGAAACTGTTTACCAAACAGAAAAAAAGATCAGAAGCAACACATTCCAAAGATAAAACTATACTATACACAGGAAGTGGTATGTGACCATTGCCAGAATATCAGTATTCGACTATTTCCTATTCTTTCCTGCCATGTCATTAGAACCCAGAAACAAAGTAATAGCCTCAGATTTGCCAGAAGACAGTGAATAAGACAAGATCTCTGCACTTAAAAGGTAAAATGGAGGTTCTTGGCATACACCATTGCAGGCAAATTTCCTCTTTCAGAGCATTAAATACTGCCACAGCAGTTCTCAAGGGGCTCGCAGGTTCCCGAGGCTGAACAGGCAGCTGTCTTCAAGCAGAACAGGGCAAAGGCAAAGGACCTGACTTTAGGAATAAAAGTGCTAAATCACACCTGGTTGAGGGATTTCTAACCAGGTACAGTTTCAGTTGTAATCACTAGCTGAGCATGTAGTAAGAATGTTATCAAATTCAAGCACAGAAAGTAAAGCCAAAAGAGAGAACAGCACTCTGGTAGAGCCTAGTAAATGTGACTTCAATGAGGTGAATCTGAGGCAGTAACTTCCACCCCACAATTCTGCTTTTCTAGTAAAGTCTATACAAGCTTGGTAGGATAAAATAAATAGCAATACTTTTGTTACAGGAACAGGGAGCTTACCCCTTCAAGTACACAGAATGCCTGTTTGGCTACATCTCGCATTCCAGTGCCCCATTCCCTAAATAATTTTAAAATACATAGATTCACATTCAGTGGCTAAAATTTAATCAGTCAACCCTTAAAAAAGGGAGGCCTGATGATATGATAAGAGTGTACCCTTAATTCCCACGGGCACCAATATAAAAGGACACTCAGCACCTTCCAGGTCTCCAAAGACAGTGGTGGCACACCAGATTTCAGCATATAGATCAATATAACAGCCAGTTTAGTCCTTACTTGCATTCAACTGTCCTGACCTTTCCTACGGCCAGTTTGAGAGTCTGTTTTTACCTTTCCTCTTTCAACTTCTTTTGTTGTCATAACAATAACTCGAGAATTCTCCTGGAACACCATCCTCCAAAAATCATTCACTGTATTCTGTAGGCAGCCTTGAGTAGCAATGTAGCTTTTTTTTGGCTTTGAGTTGTTGCACTTGGTTTCAAACTCAGGCTAGAGAAAAAACAATTTAACAAACGGTGACAAATGGTTACAAGACTAACTTGGATTTAGGTATGTTCAAGAGTAGACATGGGCTGTGCCAACAAGATTCCTGCAGGTAGGAATGTACTTACCATAATAATATTAGCATTGATATAGTCTGAAACAGGTTCATTTGGATCACCATCATGTAGAACAACTCTGGTATGATCAACTGGAAGAATATATATGTATGTTAAGCACTTGCATCCTACAGTTGTGAACACACAGCTGTTTTTAAATATCCCACAGACAGGTACATTTCCTACTGCTACCAGAAGCTATTAACTTATCAAACTCAGAAAATTAGGGGCTAGAATATTCAACGTTTCCTCTTTTGCCATTTCTTAAAACAAGTAGCCAATTCATAACAAACTAGATCAAAATAAGTGTTCACGACCCCTCGTAACTCATGAGTACATGGACAGTCAAGCACTAAGTCAAGGCAAACGGCTGCTGGATTTGCACCATGCAGTTTTGTACCACAAATTAATCCTCTTAAATTTAAGCGTTCCAGTTTGCTGGGTAACCGTTTAGGGATGTGACGCTTTTAAATGAAAGCTAAAGATAAAAACAATATTTGGGAATCAAAATATCGGTATCTACAAAGTGCAAGTGTTTGAACACAAATTGGAAATTGCATGGACTAATACTGACAACATAAGAGGGGAAATTATCACTAAAGAGAAGAAAAAGCACAGTGGTGACTAATTAATCCTGTAGATACAAGCTAAGAAAATAAAGCACAGAAAAGTAGCAGGCTTTCATTATAATGAAAGAAATCAATACTTACAGGGTAAAATGTTTTTGTATCTATTTTTGTTTTTGTTTTCTTGACGCTGACCTTCTTTACGACTATAGAGAAGTTTGCATTCTTGCTGCTGTAAAGTCTAAATGAAGACAGCACAAATAACTGGTTTTAATAAAAGCAGTATGGACTGTTTCACCATCATTATGGCAATCCTTTTTCACAAAAAGGGTAACACTTGATTATAATGCCAGATAGTCAGAGAGAGAGGGGGGTACTGGATTTCTCCATTCAGACTTAGTACAGCATTGCTCACAAGGTATATAAGAAACACAGGAACATGAGTGACAAGGCAAGCTATTTTCCACCTGATAATTATAAACATCTATGAATTCAAAGCTTCTTTAAACCACAAACGATAACGAGCAAGTCCTCATGATACTGTTCTGACCAAGCAGATGCGAGTTGGTCCCTTAAACCTTTTAGCTGTAAAACACTGCAAGGAAAACATAACTGGTTACAAAGGACCACAACAAAATTTTGTCTGTGGAAATCTGGCCGTCTTAAAAGGCACATGAAATAAATCAAATAACACAAACAGCACGCTACAGAGCAGGTCCAAATAAACATATTTATCACTAGGTCTTTCTCACCAAGCATAAAAGTTAGGAGTACTATCGCATTTCTCCTTTTTGCTGAATCAGGCAGGTAAGGAGTTAAAAAATTTCCACTGAACTGAGATTAGCTTTAGTACCAATAAAGATTAGTAACTAATGCATTCAAAACATTGCCAACCTGCAAAGAAGTAAGGCATTTTGCAATCCAGTGCTTCTCTACCTGAGCTGTACTGGATTCCTCTAGGCCTTACCAGCCTTCTTCCGCTCCTTCAGCTACAGTGAGTCTGTAGTAACACTGTTGGAAAGCCCCCAAAACAAGTCCCTGAGATTACGAATGCTGTGTTACAGCAACGCCACAAGAGCAGATCCTTGCAAGCTGCAGCCAGACCAACTCTAGACAGCCAAAGAGGAGGAAGGAGCACACAAAAAAACCCAACAAAGCACATCAACACAAGCAACTGTATTTAAATATCAAGCACAGTGAAAAGTCCTTCAGCAGTTAGAAGCAGAAGATTAAGAAGATATCCTTGTCTATTCCCCTAGAACAAAAGCCCACATGGGAATGCTACAGTATTTTCAAAGGTATGGATGAGACAGGTAAAATGCCAATGCACAACCCACCACCACAGCCACGTACCACTTTAAGTGCTCTAATTATTCTCTTCTACCAACACAAGGCCATTTCACTAAACCAGTACAAAATTTTGCCCAGACTTTCTCATATTACCCTGTTGGGGGAGGAGGGAGGTGCATTAGATAACTACCAACAGGGTTATCCATAAATCATCCTAGTGCAGAAACAATAAATCTGCACGGAATTTCTCCTGTCGGCAAGGAGCTAATTTCTCAGTGCCTGGTTCACAATTAATATGACAGGGACAATAGCAAGTCCATACTTCACAGCCATGTTGCTTAGTAGCAAATCCCCCGACTTGCAATGAAGCTGGAGGGACCAGAATCTCAACCTCTGTTCCAAGTTTTAATCCCAAAAGCAGTACTGGCCTGACTAAAAGGAACACTCAGGCTTTGGAAGCTGCTCCCCTTGTTATTACCACTCTTAATACTCTTGCAGAGATTGCTTTTACTTTAAAGCTTGGGCGTGTCAGGCACATTTGCTCACTTCTATTTCAATCTCTGTTATTGTTACTACCTCATTTAGTGACCTTGGACAATTAGGCTCATCCTAAAGACAGGGAAACCAAAGAACAAAAACAATATAGGAGAGCTGCCAGGTTTCATGCCTATGAAGCAAAAGACAGAAAACATATCCCCATAAAGCATTGCTTGCTACTACTAGCAATGGGTGAAACAGCACTTCGCAGTAAGCTCATCTCTTGCCACACTGCAAGAGTCTTTCAAGTGCCATTATCAGAGAGCACCTTTATATAATATTAACACTTTTGAGTCTCAGCCAAGTGAAACGCCAAGCAAAAGAACCCAAAGCTAAACTTTGCTAGCAGGTTAAAAAATTGAAACAATTAAGAGTGTGGAAACCATAGCTTCAGACACATCTTCACTTCATACAGTTAATCATTATTGCTTTGAGCATCCCTGAGGAGAGATCCGTGAGCAGCAACGACTTCTAACAAGCCCATTAAGAGATGTACACAATGCAACAATAAATCTGAAACATAGTCCTCAATTTCACTGCAACATCCAAGCATTACGCTCACCAAACAACCATTTCTCAGAAGCAAAACCATTACAAGGACTGTCAACATTTCTGTTTAATGGTTCACGGGACAAGAGGTACATTCTTAAATATGCCTGAAGACAAGTAATTTATAACTACCATCTGGACTGCCAAATCATAAACAGCACAGGCAGAGATCCATGGACAGCCTGGAGTTTGCCCCCCTACCTCCTGCCACCAAGGCTGACAGCTACAGCTTACCTGAGGTGAATGAAAAAGCATGACACGAAAACTGCTATGAGATTGCTTAATTTCCAAAAACACAGTGGAAAAAAATAAGGTTTAGTGCTGACCTCACTAACAGCAGCGAAGGGGAAAGACAAGTGGAATGTCTCACAGGTAAAATCTTTCATTTCTTACATTTACTTTTTCTGGCTAACACTTCTGGCTTGCTAGCAAATACTCTTCTTCAGGAAGCCAAAAGACAGGAAAAGACTTTCCTTCTAAGGACCAACTGACAAATCCATTACAAGACAAATTTATTCAACAAAGACCAGAGCTCAGAAAAGAAGTCATAAGTGTCAAGTAATAGTTCATTAATACTTTGACAAATCAACAATCCATTCCTAAAAGCACCACACAAGTGCTTCCCTCCAGAAAAAGAAAAAAAACCCAAACAGGTATTTATTCACATAGCTTCTAGTAAGCCAGCACCAATTACAAGAAGGGAAAGCCAACAGGGCACGCTTTCCTTTTTATGACCTCTGAATAAGAGTAAGGTAGGCTTAGAGTCTCCAGGGAAGCCAACAAACACCCTGTGCTTGGCTAACTGGCAAACGTATGTTCAGCCTGAACCACACAGTGATCACAGGCACAATCTACATGACTGTGTCGTGATATGATAAAGCACACCACTAATCAGGCTTTTTTGCAAAAAGCACTTAATTCCCATATGCAAGTCTTAGCCATCAGAGCAGGTGTGGCTAATCTTCCTGACCCTTCAGGACCCATATCAGAGTTCACGTCTTGAACTCCGCAAGAGAAGCAAGTCAAAGGTTGAGGCCAGTTTACCTCCAGGGGAGGTTCACAAGCAATAGATGAAAACTGCTCCCCAGGGGATCCACCACTCTACTGTTAGGGTAAAACAGTCCCAAGTCCTCAGCAATGGCCAGAGTAGCCTCTGCTGGCTTGCTTCCCCCTCCAGGTGGGATTCTGACCACTGAACAGTCCTGGGTCAAGGACTGCCCCCCCTGCACTGGGCACAGGGGAAGAGAGAGGAGAAAGCTTAACCGTCATTTTATGATTTCCCCACTGCCATGACCTAACCTTCTTATACTCCATCCACATTCACAGTGAAATGTGTTACCTCTTTGGTAAGAGTCTTTTGCTTTTCATGGATTTATTTTTCTCCCCCTGACAATAATCTCAGAGCAGATTGGACAGTATATTCAGCTAATGAATATGTCTGATCAAAAAAAGAGTTTCTTCAAGAATGGCTGCTTTGCAAATCCGTCACTATTCAAGAAGTTTCTCAAAATAGCATTACACAGCCAAAACCTGCCTCTCTGTCAAAGATCAGGACTTTCCAGTTTCCTGTTGCCACCTGCTGGTGGAGTTTCAGACTCCACTGTGGTTTTCTTATGTGTGTGGGGTATAAACGAGTCCATTATATTTAAGACACTTCTAAAGCTTTTGGCTATGACCATCACATGCATGCAGCTGTTAAATGACTCCAGTTGTCAGAGATGGGTTAGGACCCAGGCTAGACTCAAGTAGTTTGGAATGTGTTGGTTAACACTTATACTTCATTTGCTCTGCTTGAAAAATTAACAGTTTCAGCTGTATTTTCTTTCAAACATAAGTAGCTCCCCAAAATCATTAGGGCTTCAAAGAAGGGGAGAGCTGGGCCAGCACAGCTATGTTACACACACAAGAGGTGCACAGATAGGACAGAAGGAAAGGCAATGCTACTTTCTGGGAGGGAAATGGAGTTTTGGCTGCAGGCAGAAATTAAACACCCAAACAAAACAAAAATAAATCTCCAGGAGTCCAAGGAATACATATCATCAATGTTGCTTCATGTCAGAGCTTGCTGCCATTACTGCTTCACAATAGTTTTAAGATCCCCAAAAACAGCTATCAAAAAGCCACAAACTCAAGGGCAAGAGCATATATTGACTGAGAAATCACACCGACGTTTCCTTAAAGCGATGGTACCCAACCTCCCAAACACAGCAGAGTGCAAACCGAAACATCCTCTGCACTGAGATGTGCAACAGAAAGCACGGTGCAATCCCCTCATATGCACAATACGTCTGACATATTGCAACTGCATCAGATACCGCTACTGTACTAGTACTCTGGTCACCAAGAAACGTTAATCCAACCTACAGGCCTCTTCCTGTCCACATGAAGAAAAGGAACACAGGAATCAACCTGATTAATTGTCCTGGTGGGCCAGACAGTTGTACATAAGGCTTCCTCACAATGGGGAGGATATTCAGGAGGGATTGTGCTAGGTATTGAATGAATAACATTGAAGAACATCATTAGCTCTTAGAATCAGGAAAAAAGGCAAATATTTCACTCATTTTACTAGCAGACACAAGAGTGGAACTGGTAAAATTTTAATCCATGCTGTACCTGACACAGGAGATGGGAGAGCAAGAACAGGGATCTGAAGCAACAGAGGGGGAGATGAGAAAATCTCAGGAAGGCAGTAACAAACCTTACTTTTTAGTAGTGTAGAGATTTAATACCATAACACTTGGAACGTAATGAAGTACCTCAAATTCTTCCCAGAAGCCCTGCTTGACTTTATCTGTAGTCTCTGCTAGCTTGCTTAGCTCTCGCACTCTGCTTTCAATCTCTGCAGCATTAATACGGGTAGTATTCAGAGGCTAAGAAAGATACAAACATTAAACAAAGGTATAACCAGTGACAACTGTGAGAAGACAGTTAAAACACAAATCCCCTACACTAAGTATATTTTATATAGGCAGTTCTAGGATCCAGGCATCTCTCTGGACTTCAAAACTTTACAATTCATACAACGAAGGGCAGTGAGGGTAGAAAGGAAGGGGACAGGGAACAATTGCTTTTAGTCTCTTGGTTGTTCTTCAATACATTGTCTCATTTCTGGACTAGTCCTGCAATCCCTATGGACCACGATGAAACCAAGAGAAGTTCTGCATGCATCAGAGACGTAAGAGTCTATCCTTCACAGGCATATAAAAAAAATGTTCCCGTTTAAATGACTTTGTCATCCAGTTTCACGAAGTTTAATTCTTCATTTTTGCATTAGGACAGAAAAAAAAAAAAGATGTCTCACAGAATACATGGAAAAGCCTGCACTTCAACAGTATATGCTGAAGATAACAAAGCTTAGTGGTGTCTTCTCCGTTCACTCACCTGCTTGAGTTGCAATACTGTGCCCAAAGTTTCTACCATAGGGTTCTTCTTGTAATGTTCCACTAGATCTGTCAGAGAGTCAAATTTCTCCCCTCCACCAACATCGTATTTTAGATCCTTGAAAGACAGATGCTCATCAAAATAAATGCACTTCATACAATGAAGTCTACTCTAATCCTTAGGCTATGCAACATATGAGAAAATCTCTTTAAAACCATACGTAGAAGAATCTAGTAAAATCCTTCTTCTAAGGGATGGTAGAACCTTAATAAAAAGAAACAAACACACACTATGGAGGACATTATCCTTTTTGTCATCTAATTGAAAATCATTTTATCTGCCTTTTCAGGAGAGCTGATTCCTTCTGAACTGAGGTTCAAGTCAGCTCAAGCAGGCTACCTGAGCTACATAACTAGAATCCAGGAGATAGCCTTGGAAATCAATTCAAATTCATTGGGTACTGAAAGGCTGGTATTGACTGCTGCCATCCCTATTTTAAGGAAGCAATGCTAAGTTATTTTCTTCTATGTCATAAATGCTACTATTAGTTAACTGCAAATCAAAGAGTTTTTCTCAAAAAAAAAAAAAATTCTGGTAGTTTAGCTTTTACAGTCTTGGTAAGCCATTTCCATCTCCAAACTATTTCTGTTACTGCATTTTAGTAGTTTTTAAACAATTAAGACGTTGCACTGTCTTTTAGGATAACAGAACAAAAAGAAAATGACAAAATTTGTGATTATTTTTTTTAAATAGCAACCCATGGGCATATATGAAAATATCAAACGACTATAATTTAGTAATACTTCAGTGAAGAACTACCCTATATTAAATTCAAGCTTTAGATTTAAAACTGTTCCTTGGATTCAATACTCAAAATTTTCACAGAATGTTGATCATCTATCAAGTGCAACTTATAAACTGACAGGAGAAACAGATACACTCGGATGGATCTCTATTTGTCCAATTACTCATACTTTTATATAATTTGTCCAGGAGACTGCAAATCGCTTAAGAAGATTCATGAACATGAGAGGCTCCATCAGCAGAGGATTTGAGACAGACTTCTGATGCAATCAAAAGCAAATCTATTAGAAGGTACTTGACAGCATGATTCAGTCAGGCAAGCGGTCAAAAAAAAAAAAAAAAACAAACCAAAAAAACCCCAATAATAGAATTTTGATGCTATCAAATTAGTCAATTTGATCAAACAGATGACACATAGCGCACACAGTACCACAGGGAAAGGGGAAATGTATTCAGCTCTCTGTAGTGAAGTGTAAGATGGCCCTCCTGTTAGAATAAACCCACTGCCCGTGGAAGTAGCCCTGTTAAAGAAGCACGTGCTTCATCATACCTGGCAGTGAATCATGACATGTGTCACTTTAGATTTCCCATCATTACTTTCTCCTTTATCATCTCCTGTCCGGACAGAAAGAACAAAGTCCCCAGGGTGGCTTTGACTCTCACGCACAAGAAAGCTTCCATGTTTTCCTTTTTCTGTTAATAGTTTTTCAGCTTCTCTTCCAGAGAGATGCCCATGAAACCACCTTTAAATAAAGTAAGATATAGACAGGTACCCTATTTGTCATTCCAGCCATGGCTGAATCCGCTTGTTCTAAATATTTATTACAAAGTAAAATGCTTACGTACACTGAACAACAATGTCCAGGTCTACAGAAAGCCTCAGTTTATAAAAATAAAAAACAAAATAAGCCTTGGAAGTGTACATACACACAAGTGATTACAGAAACATTTCAAAGCAAGCACTTCCATAAGCACTGAAATTTGCATTTCATGCAATCTTCAAATGAAGCTTTGATTTGGACCCTTTACAACTGACCAAATGGATTCTGTGGTGTCCAATAAACACGAGCTTACACTGCAACATTTTCCTCAGTCAAGGCATCTATTCTTCTTTTATTTCCTTCATGAGGATGCACATTCCTGATAAACCTGTGGGAACTTAGCATCTTTGAGACCTTACCCTTCCATCACGATAGGAACTGGACAGGATAATCACATCAATCTCATTTCTTCAAGAAACATGGCCAAAAGGGCAATAATCCTCCCCACTACTCTTAAACACAAGCCATTCTGAGGAGTGAGAGAACTTGTTTTAATATCTTTCCTTGTTTTGTCACTTCTGAGAATAAACTGGTATCTATTGGCCATAAGGTTTATTTCTGACATACACATACTTCCTCAGTATATGTCAAGTCTAAAGCCTCAGATTCTCCTTATTAGCCATGCTCCTAAAAACATGAGTTTGAGCAATTTGAGGATTTGCATGTCATTCACTTTCTTACACATAGGCCCACCGCTGGAAAAATTGTATAAAGTTATGCTCAGATATACACCTGGGAATTCCTTGCAGTAATAACAGCTTCAGGAAGCTTTAGGAGAACTTCTATAATAAAACATTCTCCCAGTAAAAATAAAGGGAACTATGCTCTCTTTTTTAGTATTGTATCACACCAGGAAGAATGCTGAAGAAAATACGTTCTGGGGCTCAGATTGGTTTTCCTTTAATCATGTTTATTAGTCTACTTTGCAAGTAACCTCACTGAAATCAGTGGGACCACTTTTAGTACAAGATAGTGGTCACCCTTTCATCAAAAGGGAGCTGACTGTAGTGTTAACAGGGATAAAACACACATTTATTAATGTGTGCATGGACACTGAGGTTTTCACCACTATTTCTCTGACCTTTCAGATGTAGGATCAGCACAGTTCAGCGGATATTTCAACTCTATAACATCTCCATTCTTTTCCTTGAGCTGTCCATGATGTTCCATATAATACTGGACTAACTCAGCCAACGTAGCAAATTTCTCTCCTCCATAGAGGTCATAGTAGTCTCCTGTGTTCTGGATCTTGATGTGGGTGACAGCTCCAGTTCGTCTAATATTTGAAACAAAGGGGAAAAAAAAAAACCCAAACCACACAAGTCAGCTGATTTCCAATCAATCACTTTTGTATTTAGTGTTCCGTTGTCCGAGTTAGAGAAATCCATACTTACTACATTTGCATCCCTTTCCAACTGAAATATTTTTAAATAGCTAAGCTAATGTACTTCTGAAGTGTGCTTCAGCCACATTTCAGTGGCTTGCAAGAAGGGGCAGTGGCTGTCCAACAGTCAGGAAAAATAGGGAAAAAACCCTTAATTCCATAACAAAGGAATCTTTGAAGCCACTGTAAGTTCTGTGGCCTCACGATCTCCAATGGAAATCCCTCAGACCTCCAAGAATTGCACACAAAAACACAAAGGGTGGAGGGGTAAGGAGAGAAGAATTCAGCATTCTAAACACCCGTCAGAGCTTGTTTGCTCCTTTCCCTAGAATTTCACACTAACTGCTAAGGTCTCTCCTTCAGTAAACAGTTGCCTTTGCCTGATGCAAGTCATTTGCTCCCAAAGTCTCTAGTATTAATGAAGAACAGCTCTCTGAAAGAGTCCCCTTCTTTTCAACAAGGCCCATTATCTCAAAGGTATCCAAGCAGCATTATTCTTATCACCAATCCCACTTTTCCCTTTTCCTTTATCTGCTTCCTCTTGCCATCTTTTCCCCATCCCTACCACGATACACACAGTGTCAGGGGACAAGTGTTACAAAAGGCCTATTTTGGAAGCTGAAATAGCACCACAGTTGCCCTTAAAAACTTGCTGACTTTTCCTGTAAGAAGACAATCTGGATAGCATTTTCTTGCATGTGCTTGATCAGTAATTCATATCACCTCTGCTACTTTCAGATGGTTATCAAACAGATTTATAAAGGGCTAAAAGATATGCTATTATCAATCTACTTCTGCTTCCCCTTAACTTTTTCTGTCTCTCCGCAGAATCAGAATTCACCACCCTCCAACCTATAGTCTCCCCAAGTTGGGTAAAAGTATTTGAGAACCTCTTCACAGAAAACGGGAGTAAAAAAAAAAAGAGAGGGAAAAAAGTGAACAACAGACTAAAAAGTGACCCATGCATTCTTCCATCTCTTACAAGTAGTTCATTTACAACTCTCTCCCCATAGAACAGCATCAAATGCAGACTCTTACCAATATGGGGAAAAAGACAAAAAAACCATTTAAACTTACCTAACAGAGAGCGTAAAGTCTCCTGGGTTACTTTTGCTGGGCCGTGCCAAAAAACTGCCATCAACTCCTCTTGTTAACAGTAGGTTTTCTGCCTCCACCCCAGTAATATTTGGATGAAACCATCTATGAAAGGTTAAAAATGAAGAGTGTTAACAAATAAATAGATGGTCTTCCGGTTTTCAGAGTTAACTTACATGACAAGACTAAACAGAACAATCCAACAGCTTCAAAACCAGGAGGTACTGAATTTTGTTCCTAAATTAATAAGAATATCTATCTTAGCAGAAAGTACAAATCGTTCATTTTATATTACATTGCAATTTTACATATTGGTAAGAGATGCTTTGTAAGTGAAAGGGATATATCTATACATATTCAGACTGCTTGGATTAAAATGATATTAAAGAAAGGTCTACAATATAAACAGAGACCACAAGTCATGCATTTTCCTTACTCTTAGAAGACAGGACATGCAAAGAAACTGAAATACAATCAGGAAAAATACTTAAAAATAAAACAAAACATCCAAAGTGACACTTGATGACACTTTAAAGGTTAAAAATTTAACAAAACCTCATGCTTTAGGGCACAGGCTGACCACCAGCTGATAGGGGTCAGGAAGAAACTTCACTTGCGGACAACCTATTCAGTTGCCCAGTCTTCTTCCACCTTCCTCAAGAGAACGTGGTGCTGACCGCTGCCAGACACAAGAGCACCGCTCTGTCTTCTAACTACCATGGCAATTTCTCTGGCCCGAATATATCCCGCTTAAATACAAACACCGAGGAATCTCATATTGATATCCACCACCCACAAACAGCCTTCTGAATGACAAATATAGTGCCCTGCCAAAGGAGAGCTGTATATGGTCTATATCTAAGAAGCTCAGTGTCCCCACCTATGGCATTAACTTTTGAGAGACTTATTCTTAGCCATTCAGTTAACACATCTGCATTTTCTCTTATCTATAATTGAGGATATTTATTGCACTCTTGCCGTACTAAACTACATCTGCGCGTTCTGGATGAAAGGAGTTTTTAATAAGGCACGGTTTTAGAAGACAAACTTAAAAAAACCCAAACCGCCACACAGCCCAGGGACAGAGATGTGAACACAGCAACGAAGAACTGTTTTAGTGGCTTTGTCAGACTTGTATTTGGCAATTAAAAGATCACCTTTATTTTTCAGAGTTGCCATAAATCAGACACTACGCAGGGCATAAGTGAAAATGCCCCTCCACATCTGCAGAAAGAACACAGGCTACTCCTCTTCATACACAAGGTTCTTAGTTTCTCCAAAGTAAAGCAAAACGTTAAGGCAAAAGACTCTGCAACCAATCTCATTACAGATGTAAGAGTGCTGTACCTAAAAAAAATTGCATAGCATTTCTGACCGTTCCTCATACAGTCAGCATTTCATGCTACATTGCTAAAACAGCAAAATATGTGAGCGCGTGTCTAAATTTAGGGTTATTACTTCAAATTGTTTCAGCAATTCCTTCTGTACTGAAACACTGACAATACTCCTACCAAGGCCTTATCCAGCCTATTCTCTTCAGGCACGGATTCTCATGGAAACATTCTGGAGAGTTTTAGAGGTTCTAGAATACCCAAACCTCTAGCCAGTCATTCAAATGGGAATTAGGATTACTTATGTGCCAACTCCATTTCAGAAGTAAATGATTCTTCTTGTTAATCTTGGTTTTTTCCTAGTTAAGGATATTCTGCTTGCGCCAAGAAAATCTAGTGAATAGTACCGTATCTTTAACTGAAGAACAAAAACAAAACAAAAAAAAATCAAATCTATGCAGCATGGGTCATGAAAAAAATATATTAAAAAATACTTCCAAGTTATTACAGCAAACGGGAATGAATTAATAAATAATGCTACATTTATCTAATGAGTGACTACTCAAAGGTCAAGAAAAGTTCTGGTTTGATGCTGTCTCACAAAAGAAACTGCACAAGCATTGGCACCTGGGATGAACTGAACATTAAATGATTTCAGAATATGACAGGTTGGTCTGCAGAAGCTGATAATGTATTTGCCACACTTCCACCTCCAAAATTTTACTTCCATTAGGAGAAAACAAAAACCAAACAAACAAAAAAAAAGTGCAGCAACATTTTGAACAGTTTCTAAGCTTTTTAAATATGCACCGGATTCAAGGACATCTTTGCAAGTTTTTGAGTTTATATCCAAAAATGTATAATCATACAAAGGAGAAATTGGAATCAGCCCTGCAGATTTATTATATGGTGACATTCCCTAAACTTTAACTAATATAGTAACTTCTGTATCTTACCCTAAACCCTAATGCATCTGGAAGTAACTGCACACAAGTTGTTAAAAAGATGTAGAATAACAGAAAAATAATAATTTAATTATTATTAAATTATAATTTAAGAAGGGACTACAACACCTGTGCTTAGAAGAGAGGTTAAAAATATGATAGATTGTTTAAAAACAAAAATCTCACCCCCACATATACCTACACTCCTACGGAAAATAGCAAAAAGCAAGGAAGTGTAGCAAAAGAAAAACTGCATCTGGGAGACCGATGGAGTTTATTGCACTTTATGTAACTTCTGTTCTAACGGTAACTTGTACTCCTGCTCTCATCTTTGTATTTTTGGCTTTGAGTAGGAAGATGCATTTGTCAGCCACCCCAAATAGAAAAATGGGGGTGTTAGTGATCTCTGTTAAATGGTTCCGGACCGGTGATCAAGATCGCTTCATTTGAAGTGCTGCCATCACATGTGTGCTTTTGAACCTTGGTGGCTACGTCCCTTCCAAAACTGGAGGAGAGAGCAAAGGGGACTGCAGACACAGATACCAGTAACATAAGCCCTATAGAGGACCTTCTCTTACACTTCCTTTTATAGGGATGGAATGCATTTTAGACTTTTTTTCTACTTTCCTTCTTCAACCTCTATCACGAGCAGGTGCAGAGGCTATCCCCAAGCAAAGGACATCACAGCCAATAAATACAATCAAGAAAGTAACACACGCACACGTAAACCCACACTCTAATTAAACTAGCTGTCCTCACTATGCATGGAATACTCCTTACAGCAATTCAATTCTGATTTGGGGCGTTCAGCAGCATGCCATTCCGAGTCCCTTATTAGTTTACAGTAAGATGAAAATGTTGGCAGAAAAGCAACCAGTGAAATAGCGGGGGTCTCATTTACAAAACTAAGGGGATATCAGCTAAGCAAGAAACCTTTTGATGAAAACTAGTACACGGTAGGCAATACAGCCTTGCTACAATTCTCTTTTTTTTGTTAGCATAGTCCAGAAAAGATCAGCAGGATTTGCGTTTTATCTGATACATTGCCAGCATATTTCTCTCTCACCAAATTGAAGAGGAAAGAAAAAAAAAATCAATACGTTTTTCCACGCTGTGATTGGGCTTTTCTAATTGTCTTTTCAAGAGCAGGAGAGATTAAATCGGTTCTGAGTCTCAGCTGTCACAACCGTAGCATTCAGGGAGGCGGTGACTGGTAGTTTAATTACTCCTATTTATAGGCTCATCAGTTTATATTTCTCATCTTCTTTCAGTCTCCCTCACAAGTTACAATTTAAACTGCTGAGCAGAATAAGAGGATTACTCCTGACAATGAGGAAGTTCACAAGTTTTTCTAAAAGGTAACTTGTACACTTGTTCTGATGTGCGAGTAGGGGCATTCAGAAAACCCGACACAGACTGGAGACCCTCCACACACTTCAGAAGACCCCAAATCCAAATTCAACTCTAAATGGCCATGGACTGAAAACCAACCCGCCTAGTTTCAACCCTCTTAAGCAGAACAATAAAGAGGACAACCCAATGTCGAAGAAGTTATACTTTAATAGATATTACTTAGAGATGTATCAAATTTCAGAATAGGTATGTTAGAGAAAAAGGAAAAAGACGTTTATACTCTTAAGACAGTAATTTCTCCTAAGTCTGACATTTACCTTAACCTCTCAGCCCAAAATAAGACAAACATCAAAATACGCTGAGGACAGTGAGAAGCTACAACAAAGAAAAGAGATTCAACTGTTTGTCATCCCGATTTTGCAACGCCACAAGGTTTTGAAATTAGACCGAACGCTGCTAATAAACTGAGAGCCCAGATCAGGCCAGCTTACAAACGCTCATTTTAAAGTTGGCCCACGTCTTAGTTTCAGTAACGTCCCCGGTGCTGGACTACTGATAGCAACGCAGCCCTCCCTGGCCTCGGATTCTGGACCGAGAACTGAGTGGGCTGCCACAGGAACAAAATTCACCTCTCGGCTCCGGTTCAAACGCACGTGCGGGCGCGGGGAGACTCGCCTGAAACCCCCCACGAAGCCACTGGTACTGTGGCAGCTCCGGCCCCTGCGCGGGGATCGGCCGA